TAAAAAATGAGCAAAAATTTGAGCTTCACCAAAGAAGATGTACAAATGGAAAATGAAGACAGATAAACAACATCACTAGTTATTAGGAAAACAATTAAGATCACAATGAGATATAAGTAATACCTGTTAGAACAGCTAAATTAAAAAATATAGACAATACCAATGCTGGTAAAGATGTGAAGAAAATGGGTGTTTCATACATTGCTGGAGGGGGTATAAAATAGTACAGTCGTCCTGGAAATGAATTTGAAATTTCCTCAAAAAGTTAAACATTTACTTGCTGTGCAGTCCATCAGTCATACTCCCAGGCATTTGTATCATGGAAATTAAAATTTGTATCCATACAAAAATCTGTTACAAGTGTTCATGGGGTTTTTTGTAATAGCCAAGTACAAAAAACAACCAAAATGTGGCTCAGTAGGTGAACTGCTGAGCAGACTGTGAACATGCAGTCATAGATTTCCATGTAGCATGGAAGGAAAGAACTCCACATATGCACAGCAGTGCGAATGGATCTCCTGGGCGATGTGCTGAGTGGGAAGTCCAGCCTCCCAAGGACACTTGTGTGGGGTCCGTTTTGTTATACAACATTTGGAAATTTTTAAAACATGTTTTATCCAATTAGTAGTCACCAGAGATAAAGGCTGGTAAAGGTTAGGGATGGGGGAAATGGCAATTGACTATGCACCACGAGCGGAAGGGAGACACTGGTGGTGAAGGAGTAATACAGACAGCACTTGGACTGTGATGACGGTTACAGGATGGTGTCTACTTACACCTGTGATAAAGTGTCATAGAACTACACACACACACACACACACACACACACACACACACACATGCACACGCATACACATATTCATATGTTTGCACAAACGGAAGTATACACACACCAGAGTTGCAGAGTTCCAATTCCCCCAGCCTGGCCTCCATCAGGATAAAGCTATTTTGAGACATTCTTCCATTTGCAGGGCACTAGATACTGGAACTCTCCAGGAAAGCAGTGATGGACTTTCCAATACTTCTAGTAGAGATTCAAAGATAAACATCATTCTCCAAATTACAAGATTTCCAAAGGACTCATTTAGGCAGGATGACTTCTGTCACTTTTAACATACACCCCTCTAGAATCTCCTGTTTTCACCTGAAGGCACCCCCTTTCCAATGAGTTTTTTTTGTATGTGTGGTAGGGATGGAACTCAAGGTCTCCCACATGTTTGGCAAGTGCTCTCTCGGGGAACCAAAAACCAGTTTTCCAAGAGTTAATTTTATTTTCTTTATTCGCTGCATGGCTGATTGAACCCACGGCCTTCTCACTGAGCTACATCCCCAGCCCTTTTAAAAATTATTTTGAGTTGGGGTCTCACTAGGTCACTAAGTTGTTCAGGCTGGGCTTGAACTTGCTATCCTCCTGCCTCAGCCTCCCAGAATACTGAGGTTTTGGGTATGTATCACCATACCTTTCTCTGAGTGCTATTCTTCAAGTGACTAAAAACTCAGTACCTACCACAATAAACAAATATGAACTTCTCCGTAATTTTAAAAGTATGAATAGTGGGGCTGATCTCTGATGACTCCTATCACACAGTGAAATACTCATGACATGAGGAGAGGGCTGATGATCACTGTTTACTAAAAGGATATTTTGTCTTATGTGTATGAAGAGAATAAATGCACTCTTAGAGAAACCTAAAAGACAGTTTGAGTAACGTATGTTATACCCGAGCTGGTAGCATTGGGGACTGGGCTGATAGGCTATGGGAGACCGGCTTGGGACCGCTTGGGAACAACACAGAAAATGTCTCCGTCTTGTGGCTGTAAGGCTGTGGCCTCCTCCAAGTTGCACCTATGCCGTCCGCGGAGTCCTTAGCTGACCTGTCAGGAGGGTCACATCTATAGTCTAGTCATAAAGCGCTTTATAGGTGCATTTCTAGTGCCGCCTCTCGCATCTCCCAGGAAACACACACTACCACGAAAGACAAATAAAAATATCAAATATCCATTGCACTAAATATCAGGCTCAACTAGTGCATGAAACATTTTTAAATGGAACTAACACTCTCCCCTTCGTGCTGTTTTTGAATCTCTCCTTTCTCTTCCATTCTCTGACCTACAGGAAGGCTTCATCATCTTTCTCTAATTATCCCTTCATACCTCTGCACTCTCTCCTCTCCAAACCATAATTTATGTCACAGGATGAATAATTTTCTTAAATTAGTTTTTTACTTACCTCTATAGCAAAGTCTCCCACAACCCCATGAAACCTATAATTTTAAGTGCAAACAACTTGTTCAAACAGTAAACTGAAAAGAATTCCAATTGCAAGATAATTTTTTTTTTGGTGTCAGGAATCGAACTCAGGACCTTGCAGTTGTCAGACAGGCACTGTACCCTCAGCCATATCCCCGGCCCCAGCAAGACATTCTTAATCTTACTGTGTACTCAGGTTCATTCCTGCTCCATGCATTCACACTGCCTGCTGCTGAGCAAACCCTTGGCCTCGAAGCTGGTTAGCACAGCGGTCAGAAGCGTGGGCTTGCAGCAGGCTTCCTCAGAGTGCACTCTGCCTCCCCTCCTTGCTAGTCGGGCAACCTGGAGGAATGCTTGGCCTCCCAGGACTACAGGTTCTGCACTGGTACAATAAAGACAATCTAAGTGCCTACTACAGTGGGTTACTCTGTGGATTAAACAAGTTAATTCTTATAAAGTACTTGCAACAAAACCCGTGCCCTATAGTAAGCATAATAACAGAAGGGCTTTCCTTGTTACCTGCTCATCCTCATTACTAAGGTTTGGAGAGATTAAGTGACTCTCCTCAGACTTCACTACTAATAAGTGTCAAAGCTGAGATGCTAATCTGTGTTTTTTGGCTTTAGATCTCGTTCCCTTGATCAACCTATTACACTGTATCCACCCATCCCCTGAATTTTCTCACAGCAGCGATTGTTCATAGTGCTCAGCTTGCTTACTGGACTATCTCAACACGCTGGTCCTCAGTGCTTTCACACACCCTGCCCCAGCCTGGAATACTTTCTCTTCTCCTACAAGTACCCTCCCCCCAATTTCTTAACAGCCAAACTGTTTCAAAAGCTCTGTCTTCTCCCCCTGAATTTTTATGGACTTTATCGGCCTATAAAGCTCATTGGCACTGGTTGTATCCCGCCTTGTAAAGTGACTTGTCTTTTCTGTGTGTCTTGTTTCTCCAGCAGGACTGTAAATCTGCTGAGGATGGACTGTGTCCGCCTGATGGTTCTTGGCATTCCCAGCAGAGACTAGTGAGGTGCGTCGCCTCAGAGGAGACCTTTCTCAAATGTCTGCTGATTGATGAATGGGCAGAAAAGCAGTTAGCAATGGACAAATTAGCCCCATTCTCACCATAGCTTCTGTGTGCGCGACACATCCCGTCCCTTTCTTATCACTTGTGGAAAGTCTCTGGAGCTGAAGGCAAATAGCATGGGATATGGTTTGAGTGTTTGCAGAATTTATGCTGCAATGTAACTCTGAACAGTGGTATTAAGAGATGGGGCTTTTGGGAACCGATTAGGTCACGAAAGCTCTGCTCTTGTGGGTGGGACTGGTGCCTTATAAAAGACTGATGGGAACTAAAGAGGCTCCCCCCAGTCTGCATGTGAGCACAATATCAGTGCAGGTGCTATTTTGGAAGGAGCCTCAATCTTTCACCACTGAACTTGCCAGTGCCTTGATTTTGGCGGTTTCAGCCTTCAGAATTGTGAGAAATAAATTTCTACTATTTATAAGTCATCCAGTCTTAGCTATTTTGTTGTTGCAGCACTATATTATGAAGGTAACATATTTCCTCACATTCCTCACATTTAGTGGGCAAGAGAAAGGTTTTATACTTGCTTTTGTTAGTGTAGAAAGAATCGCTAAAAATTAGTTAGCTACATTCCTCTGGAGATTCAAAGAAATCTAGAGAGATGCCCCATCTTTCTCCCTGAATGTGGAACCAACTGAAATTTATACAAGGAGGTAGCCAGAAGATAAAAATGTACAGAGTGTTTCCAATACAGAAGGAATCCATGCTGTGTGTGCCTGAAGCTGGTCAGCCAACCAACCGGCTAAGCATAATTACCACCCAGTCACTGGTGAGGCATTGGGTCTTTACTCCAATGTGAGTAGTGTAATTTCAAAAAGAAGCCAAGATAGAGTAGGATGCCACATAAAGATGGACGCCCAGAGCAGGTTGATGATAAGTGAACAGATGCCCATAGTTGATGGCCATTACCAGAAGCAAAAGGAGAGGCCTGGGTCAGATTCTTCCACAGAACCCACAGAAGCAACCAACCCTGCTGACACTTTGATTCTAGACTTCTCTCCAGCAGTGGCAGAAAATAAAAATAATCAATCAGAAAATATATGACAACAAGAAACAGTTACATATATTATGGGTCACTTATGCTTTGAAAAATTCTATAACCATTTAAATTATATTCCTTCAAAGATGACTAAATTATTACTAACAATGAATAGAAAATACAATATTAAGTAAAAATCATTGCATCTATACAATATAATTCTCATTTTGTAGGAAATAGATGATACATATCGAAAAACAATTCCTAAAATGTAGCATTACCGATGTTTTCTATGGTTTTTTCTTTCACTTGAGACTGTTTTGAACATTCTAAAAGGTCAGCAAGAACATATATTCCTTTGTTTTGTTTGGTTCTTGTTTTTGTTTTTGGCATGCCTTCTTAATCATGCTAAAGAATTCATCTCGAACAAGGAAATTTGGGGCAGAAGGCAGAGTGTTTTCCTCCTCAGTTAAGAATTTGAACTACTGTATTGGAGGAGAAAGACCAACTGTTCATGTCTAAAACTGAAATCAAGCACGAGCATTTTACACAACATGTTCAAATGCAGAGAAATGCAGGGACTGCTGCACAGTAAGCACCCTCTGGTTTTGACGAAAGTCTTAATGGTAGGGGCAAAAGGGGACAGCCAAGCATATCCTGGGGGGAGGATCCCATCCCCATTGACAAGCTGCCTGGTTTTTGTTGGTTTTTACAAACTTCTTGCTCTTGAAAGCCGAACTTTTTATTGTGTAAATGTTTTGAGGACTCAAGTTATCTGCATTTAGAAAAAAAAACAGGAGCGCTTCTTTAACCTCATGAGCAGCTTCCTCCCTGCCCCTGGTGAACCGGAAGCTGTGTGATCACCGCTGTCCAGGCACCAGGCCATCGCCACATGGGCTCTGTGAGCGCAGCCAGGGCTGGTGTCCACGCTGAAATGAGCCCGTGAGGGCAAAGCGGAAAGCAGTGGGCGAAGCTGTAAGGACAGTGGGAAAGCCGGAAAACCTTTAGCAGTGAAGAATACTGTACCAATGATTGCTTGGCCCAAACGCACTCCAGGTGAGTGTTTCTCTTTGCGTGTGCTCTGTTTTTCAGGGCAGCTTGCCGCACTTTCGGAAATATTTTTGTAAGCTAAAGGCTGCCACCTGTGTGGTTTTGGCACACGCCTCACTCCTCAGCTCCATTTCCTCATTTTCAATTTGAGTGTGCTCTCAAGCGTTAAAGGGCACATAGCTCACTTCTCTTCTACCCCTTATACCCTTCACATGAATGTACAAACAGGTAATGCTTTAAGTAACTTCATAGTTTAGACTCAAGGTCTTACTCATCCCAAAGTTCTTGTCTGAATATAAAAAGGCTCATCCTTCTACCCCTCAAACAAATGTCTCTAGTCCTTTCTAAACATCCCATGTCTCTGTCCCCCGATAACACAATCTCTGAAATTCTAGCCGCAGAGACTAGAATATTAACCCTTATTATTTAGGGTTAATATTTTTGGCACTGATGCATATTCATTGGGGACAGACTGCCTGAACTTGAATCCTAATTTCCACTTAGTTATGTGACTTTGGATGTTAGGTAGGCTATTTATTCACCATGTTCTTTAGTGTTCTCATCTATGCAATGGGGGTAATGCCAGTATCTGGAATTGTATTTTCAATTCCTAAATGTTCCTTACTATTTCTGGTGAGTGAATTTCAGAGCCACATGAGCATCTCCAGGAAAGATGTCAAAGGGTCTCACAGTGGAAATACCTTTATTCGCCAGATGAAGTGCATGCTACGGAGGTTCATGTATCTTGAGACAAAGAGTTAATCTGATTTTCTCTATCTGTGAACTAATTTCTTCTCATCTCCAACCCCCTTCTACAACTGGCCTCTCGATATGATTTATCACTGTTTATGGGAAATCATGTTAACTTGAATTTAGCTTGGACTAACGCTGTCTCTATTCATGTTTTAAGTTTCTTATAAGATTCTTTGCACATAGTGAACTGTAACCTCACTTGACTCACACACAGACTGCACCCTTCTCTTGTAAAAAGTAACTGAGTCAGGGCTGGGGATTTAGCTCAGCGGCATAAGTGCCTGCCTTGCAAGCAGGCAGTCGTGAGTTCGACCCCTGGTACTGATAAAAAGGAAAAAGACAAAAAACAAAACAAAACAAAAAAAAGTAACTGAGTCTAAACCTGTGGTGGTGAACCTATGGCATGTGTGTTGTTTTTCTTTTCAGACAAAAGATATTAACATATGAGTTGTTTTTTCTAGACTAAAACCTCAGTATTCAAGTTGAATTGCAGTGTTGGCACTTTGCAACACATAAGTGGGGTTAGGGTTGCAGTTCGGGGACTCCTCTTTAAAAGGTTCACCATAACCAGTCGAAACCAATCACAATAGGCCAATGTTAGTGTTTAAATAAGACAGGCACTAGCTGTGACCAATCAGGCTGGCTCTATACCTCACTTCTATTTTCTGTGTGTTACTTCCTTTTCTGTAGTTGTAAGTATAATCTGCCCATGTGATGGGGCAAGCAATCTGCACTATTTTCAGCTCAAACTGCTACCTGAATTGCAAATAAAACCAACATGCAAAACTAGATTTGTTGTAGTCTTGTGTTTTAATAACTGGGAACAATGGGCTTCATTTTCCTCTTTCAGCTGATGTGCATCCTATCTATAAGCCGTGAAGATCTCTTTCTGCTCTACTTCCACTGGGTCTATACTTGGACGAACCAAAGAGAATGCAAAGACTGATCAAATTTAAATTGAAAAACTGTTATAATAAAAAACACGCTGCCATTGAGTCACTCTCAGACTATTCCCTTCTTCAAATGTGCTGATCCCGTCATTCTTACCACTTTCTGAAACAGCTCTGAAAGTCCTCTTTTGTGAAGGGCTTTGTGTGGTATGTTCAAAATTACAGTGAAAACTGCTTCAACTGTCACCCAGTGCAAAGCTTCCGAGTCATCGCCAAGTCACACTGGTGAGCCATCCCACCATGGTGCTTTCAGGTAGCCCAGCACAGGGAACTTTGTTTTGGAAAGGCCCTGCTAGGATTGGTGTGCATGGAATCTTATTTTTTTTTTCCCTGTAATCAACTATGTGATGCTTTTTTAAAAAGCAAGTTGGTGGAAATGCCCCTGTTCTGCTTTGTTGCGGAAGGGAAAGATCAATTCTCACGACTTCTTCCACACCATATTCTGACCTAGACCCAAAGAAATAGTCCATCTGTCACCCATGGGATTGTTTTTATCTGGAAATTTACAAGTCTACTCTGAGCACTGGAAGCAAGTTGGGGGTGTAGCATGATGATTAACAGCACAGATTTGTTTTTTTAACACTGAAAAATCTGGGTTCAGATTTCTGCTTAGCCACTTGTTAGCTTTGTGAGTAGCTGATCTCTTAGCTGCACGTTCTTCCTCTGCGTGACACGAAATACACCTCTCAAAGAACTTAAATGAAGGTCTGCAAGTAAAACATGTGGCTCAGAGTAGAAACTCAGCAAATATTATTGCTGTGTGTTGCCCAGTTAGCAATTATATTTTACCACTAAATGCAGCTTTGCAGGTAGGGGAGTAAGGAGAAGAGATATAGCCTGGAAAAACAGAAGGAGTTAGAGCCCTATACTGAACTCCTTTGGGAGGATGCCCTGGGGATTCCCGTCCCAGAGAGGCTACCTGCCTTAATTTTTAAATGAAATCCTAATTTGCTCTTCCCTATTCCAGTCTCAGGACTGTGGATCTCGGAGCCACTGAGAAGCTGCTAAGAATCTCAAAAGAAAAGTATTCTCTTATCAGCTTTTCTCAGATGCAGAAATTTATGAGGTAAGTAAAGCACCTCCTAATATATATATGGGAGTTGAACCGATTATAGTGGGATGGTTTCGTTGGATATCTATGTACCATTTGCATGCCAGCAATAATGAGCCAAATGACATCTGGTCATCTTAAATGCACCCAATAACCTAGCATCTTACCAATATTGCATATTTATGTAAATATTTTGTTTTAAAGATACCATTAGGCTCCTCCCCATGGGAAGACAAGACCATGGCTAAGCCTTCTTGTTCCCCCACCTTTAGTCAGAGCCACATTTGCTTAGTGAATTAGGGAAGCAGTGGGCTTCTCACATTTCTGAGGTAAGGAGTGGCAGCCTCATGTAGCTCGGTACCTGTCCAGGTGAGCAGAAGCACCTGGCTCAGCCACAGGTGCAATCAGGGAAAGGCAAGGTGCTGTGGGTATGGGGGCCTGTGGCATCCCCGCTCTCTCCATTCCTTAGCCCACCCCGCCTTGGCACAAGGCTGCTGGGCTCCTCGGGGGAGGGAAATACAGCTCTCAGGGTGGGAGCAGCAAAACAGAATGAGTAAGCCCGTGACAGGGGGTGGGAATGGAGCATTCATTCTTTCTCCAGTCCCCTGAATGAACGCATTCATTCATTCATGCATTGTTCCAGGCTTTTATCTCACATTCCTCTGTTTTACTTCTCCGTGGGATAACTTTCTCCACTTCTCTATGACACACAGAAATCAGGGTGTGTCTCGAATAGTTGAGATTCTTTTCCATGTTGTACTGCCTTTGCTCCCCTCCATTGAACAAAAGGGCACAGCATTTGGAAGCACACCAACAGAGTTAGAAAGAATTTTATCTTTGGTGAAGGCTCTCAGTGGTTGCTTTCTGTGCCCCTGTGCCTGGGGTTGCCTGGTGAGTAATTGCAAAGCACTTATCACCCAAACAAATATTTTCCCAGGTTCCCTATCCTGTGGAGCCACAATGGATCCTGCAAGGAAAGTGTCAGCATAAATTCTTGCTTACCCTGCATACAATTTCAACTCCTAAACAGGGGGAATTCTGAGGTTAGGAAGGACACAGATAAGGCTGAATGGCCAATTATGAAAGCCAGAGGAGGAAAAGGCTTTTCTCTTGGCTCCAAGCTAGTCAACTGGGTTGTACTGAGCTCATCTTGGCTTTGGAACAGAAGTATAAATCTGTACTAAAGGGCCCAGGCACCGGCTAGCAACCTGGCCCCGTTTAGCTTTGTATCATGAGTACTCAGATGCACTTGACCTTAGTGAACACCCCCATAGGGTCTGCAGTTGTACTGCCTGGGTCTAATCCCTCCTTCTACCACTTGTGGATGGCCCAAAGCAGGGACAGTCATTTAATCTCTCTCTCTCAGTTGCCAAGTGTTGTCATAGGTGAGGCAGAGCTCACGGTAGCTCCCACTCTACAGACTTGTTGAGAGGACCAAACAAGGTAACAGTTGCAAGAGGTTTAAAGGGTTCTGGGACCTAGTAAATACTTAATAAATGATATTTTGCTCCAAACTCAAGGTAGCACATAGAGGAAGAGGGCTGGTCAGCTGTCTCTTGACATGACTTACAACACACAGTTTGGCACAGGGATTTGACAGGGACTCTGGCTGGTCCCCAGTGGTTTGACTGAGGAGCAAGTATTTGATGGCAAATGGCCTCACTCTGGGATATTGCCATCAAAATCAACTGGTCAAAGATTAATAGTGTCTCATCACTTTCTAATTTCCCAAAGATCTTTTTTTAAGCAACAAAAGTAAAATACACTTGTAATAAAAGTGCACTTAGTCATGAAGCTTAGAAAGCAAAGATGAAACACCTTCTTTCAGAAATGTCACTTACCAAAGGTGGTCAACAATTATGAGCTTTCCACAGAGAGAAAGCAAAGGAGTAACAGTTTTGTTTGGCTGTTGCTACTTCCAGGATCTAAATTCTTTTACTTCTGCTGTCTATCCAAACAAAATGAGTTATTCAGTAGTTAGCATGACTAACATTACTAATGTGAATGCAACTAATTTAGTGGAGGCTGCTTTTATATTTCCACTTCTGAGTGACTCAGCTTGGCCTGTTACTATTGCCTTGGAAAGAATCATTTTGTACTCGGGCTGCAGTTTCCCAATCACATATTTTGAGGCCAAATGAGCTTATCACTTCTCCAGGCACAAAGTATTTATTAAGCACCTCCCCAAAAGCAATTTTTTACTTACACTTGACTTGCTTGCTTTATGAATCAAATAAAGTAGTTGGCTGATGTTCCTGTGTTTCCCCACCCATAAAATGGGTGCAATTATATTAGATTGCCAGAGGGTAATAATAAGGTTCCAGTAAGGGGAAATACTGGTTCAAAGCTGGTATGTGTGTGTGCTTGTACGGGTAGTGTTTTTTTGAGGCGGCATTTCCAGAACTACATCATCATTTTATTGACATATAACTGACTAATTTGGTGCACATACATACATCTAGCAAGTACGTATACAAGTTTTGGTGTCTGATTGGCCGGAGTTCTACTATAGCAAAGATAGCTGGTTGTCCCCCCGCATACCATCTCCCCCCTTACCCTTAAACAAAACCACTGAGTATATGCTGAATGAATGGTTACCTCAAATAAAGTTTATATTTTTATAACCTTCTATGTAGCTAGTATGCCCTTGATTAAGTTCTGTGCAGCGGAACATAAGCACAGATATCACGGGTGACTTCTAAGAGGTGTCCTTAAAGGGTGGAATACATACTTCTCTAGTCTGTTTTCTGCTGTTCAAATAAGAATGCAGTAGCTGGAACTTAAGTGGCCCTCATGGGCCACTAGGAGCAAACCACATGTGGACAACTGTGGATGGCAGCACGGAAGGAGATGTGAGTACCAGATCAGCACCGCACTATTTATTCCTAGCTTCCTTATACATGAGAAAGGAAAAGAAGTCAGTTTCCACATTCTGTTTGTCTCCCTGCTTCTAACATACACAGCTGTCCCTAATCCTAACTGATACATCAGACAAATTATAATTGCCCTGTCGATAAAACTGGAATGATTATTCTGTCTTAATGAGCTGTGAGGACTGATGCATTTGAAGCCCTCTGGCTCTATAGTAAATGATCAGCAAGGCATAAGTGTCAGTTCCTCTTATTATTTACATGAAATCAAATCAGCCCAAAAGCCCAAAGGCTGTTTTGCAGTGATGGAGGAAAAGAGGGCCCTGCGGTCCTCCCTTTTGCCTTGGTGCCCCGCCAAAGATAGCCATCTGATCAAGGTTCCTCTAGATGCCCTGGTTGGCATCACTGCCACTGAGGCTGGCACTGGGCCCTGCGAAGCCCTGCCAGCCTCTCTGCCACCTGCAGGATCAATTAAATGAACACAACTCTCTGAATGAATGAGCACTGGATTTGGAGTCCTCTGCTCAGGAAATCTCCCCACGTACAATGTATGTGACAGGCAAGAGCTCTCCTTATTGTGGACAATTCCAGGGTGGAGAGATTTTAATTTTTTCCAGTTGGGAGTGGAGCACTGACCGGCAACCTCAAGGAAACAGCAGCCCTTGAGTTGCTACCAACTCGTTGTGCTTTTCGCAGGGCCACTAATTCCACAGGCATGGCTACCCTCCTATTCGGTAACCATGGCTGTGCTGACTTAAAACAACAGAAAGCGGTCGTGCTGGGAGGACAAGATCAGTCACTGCTTAGAATTGCAGCAGTTCCTCTCTCGTACCCCTGTCAGAAGCAGCAGTAGGGAATCAGCTAGGGTTACTTTGGTGTCGATTTTTAAGTCACCTTCCGAACCCTCCCCTGGCCCCTGTCATGCTAAAGTGGAAAGAGAAGGCTGACAAAACCTGTTGACAACAGGAAGTGACAGAGTGACCCCGGCATCCCGGCCTTGGCAGACTATCAACCAGGTCCAGCACAGTCCTGCGTGCTGTCCCCACTGTGGCCTTGCTGTGTCCTTCACCATAGGAGGAAAGGCCATCACAAGACAACTTTGTGCCCATTACAGACACCTCGAGAATGAGAAGTGGGATGTCCTGGGTCCCTGGCCCCCGGTTAACCTGAGCCCAGCAACTGTCCATGGACCAAGGCAAGGCAGTGTCCTGGCTGAGGCCGATGCAGAGGGCAAGTTGCAATTAATTTTACTGGTTGCCATAAGCTGCTCTGGGAAAAGTCTGTTTTATGTTACACGATTTAGAGTGATAGCTCCTAGAACCGGGGACAGAATCGGCACTCAGGGGTTAGAATGGCTGGAATAATGTCCTGAATGCAGTGCAAAGTATAACAGCTACAGATTGTAACAAAGTCCTGAGGTCAGTTAGGGCAGAAGGTGGGAAAGACTTGATCGTAGCTCAGTATGGTGAAGCCCAGAGCTGCCCTGGGCTCTCTTCCAGACAGTCACTGTGTGCCCTGACCGCAGTAAGCTCTTCCTGAGCACTTGGTACAGAATGGGCACTGCTAGAAGGCCACCATATGTATGACAGTCTTTGGTGACAGCTCTTCTGTTTGCATCCAGGTCTACATATGGGAAAACAGAAGCACACAGTGGTTCAGTAACTTGTCCAAATTACACAGTTAACAGAGGTGTGAATTGAACCTTCTCTGTTCATGTTCTTAACCACTGGCGATATGCTCCTCTGGATCTCTAATTGAAGGAAGTGTTTTAACTTTGGGTTGGAATTTTACATATTTGTTTGAGCACAAAATACATTTTAAAAAGGTCTCGCAGCTACATTTGGTAGACTACTGCTCTGTGCAACAACCATTTGGAAACTAACGACAGAATGGTATAATTGCCAGGAAAAAAACTGAAATGCTATTGTGTGGCAACAGAAAAAGCGTTCTGTCTCTGAGATGTAGCTGGTCTATCATGTGTTCTGAGTTTGCCCGACCTTGCCTGGATCCCTTGATCAAGGCCGAGGATCATGTTTTCACATGAAACAAAGGTGATCAAGATTCTGAGCATCATTATGGTGTAGGGAGTGGCTGTTGAGGTTGGTAGGGTGGAGACCTGTGGTCTGGAGAGGAAAAGGGAGGAGA